TGGGTCTAGCAAAGCATAAACAGTAAAGTCAAAGACTTGGATCATACCAGTGACAACATTTGCAGAGTTCTCTTGCTCTTGGTGATTAGTGCTCTCATAAAGGCGGTTTGCTCCTCCGTCAGTACCGGAAGTAGCTCCTCTAGGTGCAGTCCTGTCTGGTGGGGCAACTAATGAAGATTGGGCTGTATTGCCCCTATTACCATTACCTTGCATGTTCTCAGGATACTTCCTCATAAAATGACCGTTCTGACCACACTTGAAACAACCAGTAGATCCCTCACGACAAATACCTGAATGGTTTCTGCCACACTTAGCACATGCAGGAGGCTTACTACTCCTTTGTGCCATACTGCCTTGAGAATAGGCATGTTTAGCTCTGAAACTCTGGGAATTCTGACTATTGTACTCACATTTCTTCTTAGGTGGAGGTGCACTATCAGATGATAGGGCAGGTCCCTTCTGTTTCTGTTGGAAGGAAGACACGTTCGCACTACTCTTTTGCTGCCTGAACTCATTCCCCGATGTCTTAGCCCTCTTATTCTTAAACTCTTCTCTATCCTTCAGCTTATCCTCCTCAACCTGTTGCACATGGATCATTAGCCTTGCTATGTCCATATCCCCTATCAACATCGTTTCCTTGCCTTCCTTGTTTGACTGATGAGATAACCCAGCAACAAATAAACTAATCCTGCTCCTCATCTCAGCAACCATCTCCGGAGTATAGCAGGAAAGTTGTGTGGACTTTAGACTATACCCATGAACACTCATAGACTCCAGATTAAGTATGAGAAACTCTCTTATCTTTTCCTCTCCCAACTCACAGGCAAAGAAACCCCCCATGAGAGCACACTCAAACACAGCCCAACTCAATATTGGCGCATCCTCAGCCCTATTATTTTTCCGTTGGTCAAACCAGATTCTAGCAACACCCTTCATTTGGTATGCAACTACTTCCACCCTCTAAGCATCAACAACATGTATAATCTCGAAAATTTTCTGAAGCTCTTCAACAAAGTTCTCCGGATCCTCTGTGACACTTGAAAGTGTGAAGTTTGGGGGGTTCATCCTTAAAAACTCACGGATCCTTCAAGTATCAACCACTTCCTGTCGATTATCTCTCTGTTCAACTTGATGGGTCACAACTTGACTTAACATCCGGATAGCTTCACAGAATTCAACCTTGGTGACCTCTCCTTGGGGTTGCACTTTTGGTGCATTAGGTACCCCTTAGTCCTTGACATTTCTCCTAGTAGGACGACCTCGGACAGCTCATCGTGGAGGCATGATTCTCTGAAAACACGCACAAGCACGAATTAAAGGGAGACTTTTTAGAGATCAAACTCTAACGTACGAAATGAGTGTGGAAGAAGTGAGAAATGTTCCTAAGTGTTGCACCCTCCTAATTATAGATGTGGTGCACTTCAAACTGATAACTAGGACTCTACAGACACGACTTCATAGACTCCCTAGGACTCATGAACTTTGTGCTCTGATACGAAGTTTGTCACTCCCCGAGCCTACACGCTGGACATGGCCGGCACTCGAGAACCATTGTTGGCCCTAAGCAAACCCTTGACCTGACTTACTTACTCAGCGGAAGACTTTAATTGAACTCATAATGTTTTAAAAATAAACATTTAACTTAGCCAAAATGGCAACTCAAATCTGAACATAAGCCAATAACAAAATGATGACGAATGAACTGACATCTGACTAACTATCTATGAATCCTCTAAAACAACAGAGATGGATGTCGGGACAGGCCCACGACATCCAAATGAACTAAAATGATGAAGTGATGAAAAGGGGGATCCACCGGAATGCAAGGAGGCTCACCAACAACTCTGAAGCTCAACTGGATCAATGATGCACTGGATGCTGATC